CCCCGCTCGCCGCCGACGTTTTTTAGCTGGAGGCATGACGACCCCAGTCCCCGACTTTGTGATAGTTCGGCTGGAAAACGACCTTAGACCCAACTCGGGATACATACGATGGGGGGCGCCCGTCCTTCTATGTGGATTGTACCAGATAGGCCCCCTTGGGGTGTCTTCCCGAAGCCTGTTTCTCCGGAACGGAGACGTGAACTCCCATTTGAACGTAGTCTCTGGGGCGCCCCACATGGCCGACAGTGGAAATCAAGTGTCCAAACACGTGTTCGTGCGGGAGGGAGATAGATTGAAGCGGACAGCACGTATCAAACTGTAGCCACCTCGGCCAGTCGCACGATCGGAACATATGCTACACGCGTGGGGGCATTGTTGAGTGAACAGCCCTGGGGACAACCATTCCATGTGCTGACCAGGCGGGGCGTGCTACACATATTGGCCTGACAGGGAGACGATAATCTCCGGTATCCAAATACTCCAAAAGGTCAAGAGATTGACAGAACACGAACAAGTGGCCGAAGACAGTCAAACAACAAAAAGCAATGCTCAAACCCAGAAGTTGGAAATGAACCAATCGCGGCCTCCCAGATGGGGTCGGAGTAGATGGGGTCAGAGGATCGTGCCGCATCGCCGATACATCGGCGACGCATCGCCGATGCATCGGCGTTGTACCGCCGACGTCGACGATGCATCGGCGACGTCGACGTGAGGCAAATCGGGCTCCGCATCGAGCCGCATCGGCGATGCGGCGCGATCCCCCGACCCCATCTACTCCGACACCATCTGGGAGGCCTACACTGGATGGGGCAAAAATCGCCCCCCTCTTGGATCCGCTGGGGCGGATGGGCACTTGCTGTCGGAACGGGTGGAGGGGGGGTGGGGTGGAGGAGGAGGAGGAGGAGGAGGACGAGGAGGAGGAGGAGGAGGACGAGGAGGAGGACGCGGGGGGGGGGGATGGGCAAGCTCCGTCGGAAGGTTAGTCGCCCCCCCCTCGATCAGCATCCCACCCAGAGTACTCCGACCCCATCTGGGAGGCCTAGAGTGAAGGGGCCCCAGGACACACAAGTAAATACACACAAATAAAAGTATCCCCCATATTTTCCCATAGTTTCTGGGTTTCTGTCTTCCCCCCCACTTCCCATATCTTCCCATATTTTCTGGGGGATCGAGGATTAATTGTGTCTGTGTGTTTTTTCTCCTCCTGATAGAGAGCAGTGGCTCGATCCAATCCTTCGGCATGAGGCAAGGGGGGCCACGGCGGGGGGCGACCGGAGAGGGCCTCGCGCCAGGCTTCGCGCGGAGGACCAGGGGCAGGGAGGCAGAGGAAGGCGGGAAGGCGTCTCTTGTCGCAGGCCTAGAGATTGACACCAACACCAATTTCGGCGGTCCGCCTCCACCGAGGGAAGAAGATCCCGATCTCGGTGATGGTGGTAATATTCTGGCTTCAAGGTGGCCGAACTATTACCACCAGCACCGAAAATCTAGGATCACCTTCCCCCTGTGGCGGCAACCCCCTGTCTTGGTGTTGGTGCCAATTTCCAGGCCTCCAATCTTGGGATCCACCACAGGGGGGGTGACCCTGAGGGGGGGCCATACCCATCTTGTAGTACAGCGTTTCCCGAGCGGTGTGGCCAGAAAGCGCCCGCCACGACGCATATACTATAAGATTTAGCGGTGCGCGGGTCGCCCCCGGGGGGGCGACGCACACATGGCTCAGTTGCCACCGGCCCGGGCCAGCGGAGGGCGGAACGCCAGAAGCGGCCCCACGCAGGCATCGGGCCACACGCCACACCAGATCCCGGGAAGATCCGACTCGAGCCGCATCGGGCCAGGCGGCCTCGGCATCGAAGCAGATCGACGAGGTCGAGGTGGGCCCTGGGAGGGCGAGTCAGGCCAAGGTCCCCGGCGACGGCGGGCGGACAAGAGCCGGGATTCAACAGAGGGGGGATGACCCTGAGGGGAAGGCGTGAGTTCGATCCATAACGAACTGCCGCAAACAGATGCCCCCAGCATGCCCCACCAAACGGCAACTCTCGGGAGCGGCCGGCGGCTGGGGGGCATCTGTTTTGGGCGGTTGGTGCAAAAACCGATCGAACTCACACACACACACACACACACCAGGCCCCCCCCCTTTGCGGGATCCCGAGTATCGGAGGAAGTGGTTCCGTCCCCCATCACCGTGAGGGGCGGGGGGCGGGGCATTGCAGTTTTGCAGGGTCGCTCCAAGGCTAAGGTCCATTGCGAGCCTCTCCTGTCTGGGAGTGCTGTTCTGCGCACCTGGGTGTCCAGGCCGGTGTGTCCAGGAGTGTCTGGGGCAAGAACTGCCTTTCAAGGGTGTCTCGAGCGGAACCATTCATGACCGAACGTCCGGGACACTGCATCGGAGTGTCCGGAAGTGTCCTGGACAATATTCCCACACACTGCAAGACACAGAGTGCCACTTGATCAATCCCAGAAGCCAGCCCACCGAAGGCCTTCCTCCCCTTCCCACTCCCCTCCTCCTCCTCCTCCTCCTGCTCCTCCTCCTCCTCCTCCTCCTCTCCTCCTCATCCTCCTCCTGCTCCTCCTCCTCCTCCTCCTCCTCCTCCTCCTCCTCCTCCTCCTCCTCCTCCTCCTCCTCCTCCTCCTCCTCCTCTCCCATCCTCCTCCGACGAGTAGCGAGCCGCGGCGTGCGATGAGTATCTCCTTCTCTTCTGTCCGTGCAGGGCCCAAATCCCGCGTGCGCCCCACGGCGGAAGCGTGGCAAGGACCGGCCGGCTCGAACCGAGTCGGATCCTCCTCCGCTTCCTTCGCCGAGCGGCTCCCGTTCGCCCCGCCGCCCCCCGCGCCACCTCCTCTCGCGCCCCCCTCCGTCTGCCTTGCAACTTCGTGCCCCCGTGGGCAGCTCCGCCCAGCACCCCAGGGACCCCGGGCCTCCTTTTCTGCCTCCCCATCCCCCGTCGTGCCTCCGTGAGCAGCTTCCCCCACCACTCCGAAGCTTCGCCTCCGTGAGCAGCTTCCCCCGACGTGCCTCCGTGAACAGCTCTTCTGTTTCCCCGTGCCCCCGTGCATCCCTTCCACGGCCCGTGCTTCCCCCTCCTGTACTTCTCTCCCCCGTGGCCCCCCCGAGGCCCCCCTGGGGGCCACAGCATGTCCAGAATAACCGGAACTCTTAGGCTGGCCGTACGAGCTGCCAACGCGCTGAAATCTGTTTTCGGTCATGTTGGGGCTGCGCTGAGAATCGGCAGTGCACTTGCGGACAGCACTGCGATCACACATGTTCCTAAGGCATAATGTCTGAACTGGCGGCCTGTGACAATCAGCACAACCCATCCCGTCGCACATCCCGCCGCGTCAATGCATTCACGGCCTCTGTGTTATGCCTGTCGCAGCACCGCAGAGGAGGGAAGGAGTGGAGAGGGAAGCGGGGGTCCAGAACTGCCGACGCCTGACTCACACATCCACCAGGCCTTCCGCTGGCGGAGCCACCGCTGTTCACCCTCTGCCTGCTGCCGCTGAAAACAGACTTACTTGATTGTACGATTGCGGCCCTTGGAGAAGGAAGCTCAACTGAATCAATCCTCCTCCTCCTCCTCCTCCTCCTCCTCCTCCTCCTCCTCCTCCTCCTCCTCCTCCTCCTCCTCCTCCTCTCTCCTCCTCCTCCTCCTCCTCCTCCTCCTCCGCCTCCTCCTCCTCCTCCTTGTTTGGGGAGACCAGAGGTCAGCGATACCGCCGCTCCGCGGACCTCTCCCAGGGCGCGACCTGACCAGGATGTCGAGGCGAATCCCATGGCAGCGAGGACCGCCCGGGAGGCCCAGACAGAAGGGAGAACGAGGAAAGGGAAGCGGTATGGGCACCTCTTCTTCCTCCGAAGAAACTTCGCTTCCTGGATCTTACAAAAAAGGCTGACCCCCCATTGGCACGCGAATCTAATGGGCGCAACGAGGACCGCCCCGGAGGCCCAAACAGAAGGGAAAACGAGGAAAGGGAAGCGGTATGGGCACTCCAGATCTCGTAATAAAAGGGAGGGGGTCTGGACCCTCCAAGACAAGCCACTTCAGACCCCCCCCCCCGTGGGAGAACCCTCCAAAACATCGTCCCCAGACCCCCCAGGTCCTCCAAGATAGCCTGGAAGAGACCCCCCCCCGAAATGAGACCCCTCTCCCTTTATTACGAAATCTGGAGTACCTCTTCTTCCTCCGAAGGAACTTCGCTTCCTGGATCTTTCAAAAAAGGCTGACCCCCCCTTGGCACGCGGAAGGGCGAAGGCGAGCCCCTCTCTGGTGCGCTGCACATCTAGCTGGTCACGGAAACCCTGAACTCCAAACATGCCGCCACCGATCTTTCCACACGGGCTACCAACTTGCCACGCCGCGCGGAACTCCACGTGCACAACAAAGGAGCCGTGCCCAGCCTAAGCCAGCCTTCGCGCGGCCACGCGCAAAGGGCATATCACAGCAGCACGATGAGCACTGCAGGGCTACAAATAGAATGCTGCTGGGTGGATGGATGTGGCTGACACACTGGAAACGCGTTGCCCCAACGGTTCACCCGTGGAGCAACAGCGGGAAGAGACCTTCAACCAAATGGGGAAAAAGGCACAGCCGCATGTACCGCACGAACCTTCTTGTTCGCTTACTCCTATCATGCGTAAATGTGTATACAGATGTCTACGCTCGAACCTCTCTCGACGATGTGGTCGTTGCGCTTCCCCTCGCGGCGGCCTTGCGAACAAGGACGGGCTTACGCCTGCGAAGCAGACGCGCAAAGGCCGCGGGTGGCCCGTGCGTCACCGACTGCGCGGCCCAGCAAAGGAGGGCGATGGGAGGAAGCTGAGCGATTCGATGATTGGGATGGTCATTGCATCAGCCATGGCTCTTCTGAGTGCACCACGAAACTCTCGGCCACGTAGACCTGCTGTGGAACTCCTCTCCGATGCTTTGGAGCAACTGATTCCTCAACGCTTGTAGTAAGGTCAGGCTCTCGGGACAAAGTTTAAACTGCGAGGGCATCTGCCGATGCGCTGTTCGCGCATGCCATCGTATAGTAGCCTTCAGAAGGGGTTCTCCAGTATTCCGACAAAATTACTGCGAGCGCTCATGAGGCAGATGGAGAGCAACGATGACATCATGCTCAAGAATTGGCCGCCACCGTGCGCTTCAATCAACAATGAAATGGTGTCAACTTGCCCCCGTGACGGACATGAGTCGCCGCGCAAGCGAGGCCTGCAACAGACGCGGGCCACACTTGGCTCTCGGAGCTTCACTCTGCTTCACGGCGGGCAATCTATTTTGTGCCCGTGCATCCTGACAGAAGTGTAG